AAAATAGAGCTAATAAGCTCGTTCAATACGAACAAAGCGCAGAATTTACAGAAGCATGTCGTTAAAGCAACGAAAAAAAAGAATGCACGAACCTCGCTGAACTCTGGCCTCTCGTTTCTGTTGTACTTGATACAGCGTTCATATAGGGCCAGCAACGGCTTTGGAGTGTCCGACCGTATTTTCGAAACGTCCGGTCTGAGATAGATAGCCGCGACCAACCTAAAAAGCGACGGATGTGAGAAACTGAAGTGATGACAATGTCGTGCCATCCTAAGTCAGCAATTCTGAGCCCACAAACATTCAATGAGAATCCCAGGACAAATGCGGTCTAACACGCTTGTCATATCGGTGACCTCTAAACATTGTCCAGTGATCATAGAAAATGATATAATGCGGTTTTTACTTTCATAAACTCCCCTCTTAGCAGGGCAATCTCTAATGGGTATACGAATAACCATCTATAAAAATATTTTGTACCGATTTGAAAAAGAACGCGTAAAAGCCTCACCATGAAAAGGATTTGGTCACGATTATTTATGTTAGTATACGGCAGAGAGCTTGATAGAACTTCATACATGACTATTCCAAAAGAATATACATCAGATAAAGTAGTGTATGGATTGGAGTCTTGCATGCGAATAACCTCCGGCGCCTGAATTATGTTGATTATTTGCACACACGGTTGATTCATTTCAACAACAGAACTTCTATATTCACCATCCATAGAATGCTGCCAGTAGGCTGCTGGCTTTGTTGCCCTCCACTCCAGCGAGTTTTCACAGTGGCAAGGCCAAAATCTCCTATTTTCACAGTACTCATGTCATCCATAAGGAAAATATTGTTGGTTTTCAGATCTCTGAAAAAATGCATGTCGCAGTACTGCTGGTTCACAAACTTAGTTGACTTACCTATGAATTATATTTTTCGAATGCAGATAATTCATTCCTAGAGTTATTTGTTTGAAAATGTCAAGAATAGTGCTCATTTCAAACTCCACCCGAGGTTCTGAAAAGTTTCTAAATTGATCGATGAATTTTCACCCGGCGGTGAAAAATACTACACACTATGATAATGCACTGAAACATCGAAAAAGCCACTTGTAGAAAATAAAACATACCAACAACATGGATGTGTTTATATAAACTACTGCCTTCACACCACTGTGTTACAATGGCGAGTGATGGTTCACGAACCCAACCCATGAAAAGAAGCACATTCAAGTGACGCGTTTTCTTCAGCACAGCTACCTAAAAATTTCAAATGAGAATATCTGCTGAATTTTTGTCTGGGTTTGCTCTTCAAGAAGAGCTGGAGATGGGAGTAAGGTTCTACCCCTACGAAAGAGCATCTTGTAAAAAGGACCGACAACGACACACAATACCAGATAGCAGCGCTGAAGATTAAAATGCTTTTTAACACGTTGACGACATCGCGCGTTTTGGTTTTTGCACCGCGTGGGACCAGAGCGATTTTGCGAGCGCCGCCGCCGCACACAAATCCATGGATTTTGAGCTGTAAATACGCAATACTTAGATGCGATGAAGTGTTTTCAATAATGTTCGATCTGTCTAACTTATCGGAGTTACAGTAATGGAAGTTCGACCGAAATGACGTGTTAAGGCCATGAAAAGGCAAATTTTACTTACTTTCCCTTTAGTGGTTCCAAAATTAATTTGGACGTGGTTGTTTCAGTAAAAACACATATCTTCCCATACGAATAGGTTTGTATTCACTTCTATTATTCCTTTTTATCAACATGTTACGTTATTGAAAAGAAAACGAGGAATGAATGAACAGACATATCCGTAAGGTCTGGAAAACCTCTGCCAAACTAAAGAATATTTGGCCTTTCTGTGAGCCATGTGGTTTTTAAGTATGCTAATGTATGGCCTATAGAATGAGTACAAAGACCTTAGGAATAAGTCGCGCAAGCGCAAGAAAAAGGGATGACTTGGGTGGGACGCGTTACCGCGTCACAATGTCCCACGAGGTGCGCAAAGTGGGACGCGTTACGCAGTCGTGTTTAGGATTACTTTCCTCTCTTCAATGAAGACCGTTTTAACATATTTCTAGACTTTTTTGTATTTGTTTGTAGAACATAGCTTAT